TGTTGGTGAGGGGTCCGGGAGCTCCCACGGCGGGTGTTTCCCAGCCGAAGCATACCACGATGTTACTCCATGGTAAGTGTGACTTTGCCCGACTCTGAATTACTTTCTGTTGACAAAGCCACTTGTGGATATTGGCATGAAACCTTCCTCTCCTGCGGCAGCACACTGGCCGTGCTCTGCTAGCTGCAGCAGCCGTCCCAGCTGCTCCGTGGTGTCGCCTGCGCTAAGCAAGTGCATATTGCTTTCAAGTACAGGGAAATATGCCAGGAAAAACACCGTATAGGAGGGATTATGGCTAATGGTGATAGCAGTAATTTTCTCCTTCTTTTGCTCTCAGATGTTGTCCGTACCAGAATACAAGATCCGCCTGCGCAGCCTACATTTTAAGACCACTCTGCAGGAGAAGACAGAGGAGATCAAAGCTAGCTACGAGTGCATCTGCAAGGCCTCTCTAGAGCTGAAAAGCAGCAAGAAGCTGGCTAAGATCTTGGAGGTCAGAACAGTCCTTCCTTCTGGTAACAGCCACCGGGGGCCCCCAGCGTCCACGGGAGCACCCACAGGCAGCCGGGCAGCTCGCAGGCAGCTCGCAGGCAGCCAGAGCGCAGCTCCAGCCCCATGGCTGTGCCCTGGGCCACTCCGGGTCCAGCTCGGCCAGGCTCCATCCGCTGGCAGCTCCCGCTGGCATTGGCTTGCGGGGATCCTGGCCTTGGGAGGATGCGGGAGGGCAGATCGCTGATGGCCATGCACCCACCCGCAGCATGCGGCAGGGCTGCAGGAGCCAGAAACCCGCCCAGTAACACAGCAGAGCCCACCGATGTTGTCCTTTGGCTGCGATGGGGCTGGAGGATGTGGGGTTTGGCCAAGCAGTCACTGTGTGTGTGTCCACATGCAGGTAGCACTGCAGGCTGGTCCCTGTGCACAGCTGTGGGCTTGTGCCAGCCCTGCCGCGGTGCAGGCAGGGGTCCTGCACACTGCCCGTCCCTCCGAGGAGGTGCCTTTGGGGTCCCGGGGACGGGCTGTGCCTGGCAGAGGGGCACTGCACTTGCAGGAGAGAACGAATCCCGCTGCAGCTGCTCTTTGACCTTACTGAGATGAGCTGCCCCAAATTAATGTTAATTCATTTGGGTTTGCTTTTAAGAAAAGCAGGTGGGATAAATGAGGACATGATGTGACAGAAGGCATTTCCAGATGAGAGATGAACCTCCTTAGTGGCTCCTGGCCAGTAACTCCCCAACACCTCATTAAGTCCTTGTGGAGGTAATGGCTGGTTGCACATTAACGGGTGGTGAACAGAAATTCGGAGACTCCCAGGCTGAAATCCAGACAGTCCTGAGGTCCCCACTCCTTGCCAGGCCCCAGGAGGGATGTCAGGGCTCCGGTGAGCCCAGTCTGGGGTCCTGCTGTGCCTCCAAGGCTGCAAAGCCGCAGCACAAGGAATCGGAACATTCTGGAGGGAAAAGCTGGCTCTGCTGGATCACTACTTTCCCTTTAAAATATCCCCTTAAAGATCTGCAGATAATAGCTACAAAAGGCTTTGGGAAGAGGAGAGCTTAGGCACTGGCCAGTCAGCAGGAGTCCTTGTCCTGCAGTCAGGAGGTCTCAGAGTAGACCTCCAGACTTAGCCCTGGTCCTGCAAGGAAAAATGACTGAGAAATAAAAAGGCAACACCAAATTGTGTACGCCCAAAGCCTGAGGCTGTAACGCAAGACAAAATCCCCCCTTAAATGTTAACAGAGCTTGGCCACCTATATCGTCAGTCTGGAAGTGGCAAAGGAGCCAAGCTGGTGTTAGTGGTGCCGTGGGCTCCCTGCAGCTCTCTGGCAGCACAGACCTTCTGGACGGCTGCAGGAGTGGGAAGGGGACTCCTGGGCAGCATCCACATAAACCACATGGGGAAGCATCTAAATGTGAGCTCTTGTAAGGGCTTTGCAAGTTTGGGTCTGCAGATGACAAATGGGGTGTGTTTTCTAGCCCTTGCTGAAGACACAGGAGAGGTGGTGGATGAGGACCAGTTCCTGGAGCTGAAACGTGGGCTTTGCTGTTGAGGGTTCAGTGCAGGCTTCGTACGGGAGCAGCACGGAGAAGAGAACAGCCTGCGCCACTGACCCACGGCCCCGTCCCTTGGGGCTGCTGTGCTGATGGGCGCATTAGCAGCCCTCCTCCCCCCAGCGTGCTGTATGGGCGATAGGATGAACAGTGCGTACAGAACCAGTGGAAATTCTGCCTTTAACATGCATTCATCCCCCTAATCTGCCCCACTGAATGAACCGATAAGATTTTATTAACAATGCTCTATGAACACATGTACGGGGCCCCTTAGCAGAAGTGACCTGACACAAAAAAGAGTGCTTTCCCACCGTCCTGTAGACAGTGGAAGGCTTTTTACCTCTGCTCCTACCACATCGTTGGTAGGTCTCTGTGACCCAAAAGCGGGTGCAAAAGGAGATGGGAGATGGGATGATATAAGTGCTGGAGGTCACTGGCCGGTCATTCACTGAGCTTTCTCTTTGCAGTTTGTGCTGGCGATGGGAAACTATCTGAACAACGGGCAGCCCAAGACCAGCAAAACAACAGGCTTTAAAATCAACTTTCTCACCGAGGTAAGACGAAGCATGCTTGTTCCCGTGGCAGGAGGCACCGATGCCAGGAGCTCCAAGTGCCCTGTTTATCGTGCCTGTCCTCGTACAAGGCTCCTGGGTGCAGCGGCTCCTGGAGGGGGGGACCGGTGGGAAGGCTGGGATCGATGCGCAGGGTTGACTTCAGAGAGGCCCTAAGGGTGGTCTGGTGCTTCAGTGTGCTGGGACCTGAGACCCAGGCCGTCTGGCTGTGGGGTGGGAGAAAATGAAGGTCTTTCTTTTATCCCACGTGGGTTGCTGTGGGACTCCTGAGGGGTGGGGGACGGGGTGACAGCCCTGGCCTGCGGGAAGGAGGCATCGCTTAGCATCTTGACACCACTAATCTGGGCGTAACATGCTGTGTAAACATTAAATGTCCTATTTAAACATTAATCCACATAGCATGGCTGGGAATTGCTACACATGTGAATGCAGGGTGAGCCGAGCAGAACAGAGGAGCCTCTGTGTATTTGGGTGCTTGGCAAAACCCACTCTCCTCTGCATAGGAATCTCCTTACTTGTTTTGCTTTGCCGTAGCTGAACACAACCAAGACTGTTGATGGGAAATCCACCTTCCTGCACATTCTTGCCAAATCACTTAGCCAACATTTCCCAGAGCTCCTGGGCTTTGCCAAGGATCTTCCTACAGTGCCGCTCGCTGCCAAAGGTAAACGAACAAAAGCATCTGCAAGCTCCTTGTCTCTTCTCTTGGTGTTGTACGGGTCTAGAATTGGTCATGAGCTGCACAGCGTTGGCACGAGCAGCATGGCAGCCCAAACAAGTGAAGAATGGTCCTGAGCGAGAGGACGGGGCTAGGAAGGGACAAGCTTAGTGACAGGGGAGGTCCCATCCGTCCCATGCTGCCGCACATGGGAGTGTCTAGACAAGGTCCCTGACCTGAACCTTCCTTCTGACTTGAAAAAGTAGTTCCCAAGTTCAGAGGTATTTTGTAAGTGCAAATGAGGCACAGAAGAGGGAAGTGCCAGGAGCCGGTCTGCTCCACCCAGCCTCTGCCTCCCTCCATCCCTGGTGTGCAGCCTCCCCAGCGTGGGTGCCAGCATTATTACTGCTTGCAATCGCGTGTGGTACAGAGTGTACAGCACCCTTCATGTTATGAGTTCACAGTCCAGTCGCAGGTATATCATGCTGACTGAGGATCGTACAGCTTCGCTGGTTGCAATAAAAAAAAGTCACATAGATGGTGGGGTCATCATCCATCCACTTGTGTTGGTGGTGTCACAACAGGCTGGCTGCATGCAAAGGATGGGCTGCGTTCTCCTTGCACATCATCCCCTGTTGTTTGTGAGTAATTCCCTTGGGAATTAGTGCTACAGTGGATAAATAAAGGAGGAAATTCAGACCTGGAGATGTAAATTTCCACTTGATGAAGGTCTGTACCTGTAGCTTTCCTAGCTGGATTTTGTATCTGGCCTAACTGTTAAATAACACTTTTGTGACTGAAGGCTCCCTGCTGCCCAAACTCCTGCTGCCTTATACCCCATTTCAGACCATGTGCTATCCAGGGCTGCCCAGCTTTGCTCTCACGCAGGCCACAGAGCGACACAGCTGCAGCACGTAACCCAAACCCTCCTGACATGCTCCAGTTCACCTTCTCCCTTGCCTGTAGAAGAGCTAAGGCTTGGCCGCCCAAGACAGCAAGGAGTTTGAACTGCTCATCGCTCTCCTGAATGCTGGTGCTATGATGAGATGCCATGGAGGGCAGCCTGGATATTACCCCTTGTCCTACCGCCCTGTACACTCCCGCTGTCCCCCTCCCAAGTCAAATACCTGTGTATCCATCACTGCCCTTGTGCTGCTGAGTCCTGCGTGCTCCTTGCACTTGGCACATTTCAAGCTCTTTTTGAGGTTCGTGGCATCTCTTGGCCCAAGTGCCCAGCGGCAGCTGCTGGCAACCTGCTGGAGGCCAGCAGGAAGGTCTGGTCGTCCACCACACCCTGGACAATGCAGACAGGTTATGCAGAGCCATGTAGACAGACAGCCTGAACCACCCTGACCGATGGCCCACGCTCGTTGCCCTCACTTTGCCGCAGGAAGCAAGCCAGACCCAAGTCTCCTAACACTGTTGACTCCTCTCTTCTCACGTAGTGAATCAGAGAACACTAACTGCTGACCTAAAGGACCTGCACACCACCGTCAGTGACATACAGATGGCCTGTCACAACATGCCAGCTACCGCAGAGGACAGATTTGCAATTGTGATGACTGTATCCTTCTGTAAAAGGCGCAAAACACCAATGTGACTTACTGCCCTCGAGTAAAACCATTCAGTTGTCTTTATGCCTCCTTGGTAAGCAGCAGGGATGTGTCCGGCTGGTAAGAAAGGACCATCTCAGCACTTGGTGAGAGCGTGGTGGAAATCTCCACCCTCCACTCACTCTTAGCCAGCATGGGAAACAGCTTTCGTGGTGACCACCAGTTCACATGCCTCTGCGTGGCAGAAACCCCGTGCCACAAGGCCAGAAAGCTTGCCGAGTCGTCTTTCCGCCAGGAGAAGTGCTGTTAGGGACAGCTGAGCATGCCAGTGGGCTCCCTTCACGTGTGGCCGCAGCCTGCATTTGCAGCAGGTCCTTTCTTAGACCTGAGATGAAACCCAGCCATTTGATAAGCAGAAGTGATTCTGATCTGTACCAGACCCACAGTGCGGCTGTTTTCCCTTAAGCCATTTCTCTCAGTCCTTCCTGGAGAGCGCCCAGCCTGCCATGCGATCCTTGGACGACCTGCAGCACAAGGCCATGGAAGAATTCAGCAAGGTGTTGTCCTTCTTCGGGGAAGACTCGAAAATGACAACTTCTGAAGCTTTCTTTGGCATTTTTGCAGAATTCATGAGCAAGTTTGAGGTAAGTTGCACTTTTCAAAGCCAGCCAGCAAGGGGTTTCCTGTTAAATGTCAGTGAAGCGTTTTACTTGCATGTGAGCTGTGGGAACGAGACGAGCTTTTTGTGAGCACGTGTACCTGTAAAGTGCAATTTTTCTAACGTCCAAGTTGGCTGGCCGGTGCAGGAGGCTGAGGTGAGGGTTGATGGTCCAAGCACTGGCCCCATGGAGAGTAAAGCAGATGTTGTCATGGTCTGACGTTCTTGGTTAGTGAAGGCTGGGTCGGAGCACCACAAAACAGATGCACTGACTGTCAGGGCTTGTCCAGCGGGAAGCTGGGGGAGAATTAAGTCTGTAGTGGCCAGTACTGTTGAAACGTCCTCCCTGTCCACACCAGCTGCCCTTGCCTGATCCTCAGCTCCTGCTCTTTGCTCTCTCCCTGCAGCGGGCACTCAGCGATGTGCAGCTCGGCGAAAGCCAGCGCAGCCCCAGGATGACCTCCCCCCTTGCCTGGTGACGGGCCTGCAGCAATGTGAGGTGCAACAATTTATTGCCAACAAAGTGCAATTTGCTCCCATTGAGTTTGGTTGTAAATATGCTGCTGTCACCTGCTACCACCAAGCAGAACCACGGACCGAGGGGTCGGGGCAGTTTGGACACTGAAAAGGCTCCATAGGTGATAGTGGATGGATGTGAGGGTGAGGCACAGGGACAAGAAGGTAAACACCGGGCTGGTCTTGACAACAGCTTTCTTAGCACCCTCCACTTCCAGCGTATTACTGAGTCAAGGATTTCAGACACATCTGGGTAAAACCCCACTCTCCCGTGTTTCCAGAACACACATAACTGGCACCAGCAGTTGCTGGAGACCTTCCCCATGTCCCCACGGCCAGTGCCCGAGCATGGCTGTGCAAGGAGTCTGCCCTCGCAGGATACAGCTTTCCCCAGGCAGGCACCGCTTGCCCCTGCCAGCCTCGGGGCCGGGGTTAGAGCCCAGCCACAGACTCCCTGGGGAGCCAGAGCAGGTCAGGCGAGGAAGGGAGCGTGGGGGGATGAGGGCTGCCACCAGTGACTGCTCCCCCGGGACCCCGAGTAGCAATGCTGCTGAGCTCCTCTCAAATCCCTCTCCAAGCCCTTCTGCCCTTGAGCTGCACCGTGGGGCTGGGGCTCCACCTGAACAGACTGTAACAGCGGAGTGGAGACTGTTGGAGGTGGCCTGGACGTTTTAATCCCCTGCCATTGCCGGCCAGTGGCAATGGAAAGCAATATGACCTTGCAGAACCCTTCTGGCACGTCTGTGTGGTCCCAAATACAGATCCAGCCTGGTTTCACCCAGCTGCGCTGGAGAGGAAGGAAAGCCCAGAGTCCTTCCCGGCCGTCAGCTTTGCTTAAAGGTGTGGCAGAGACTGACAGGTCCTGGAGGTTTTAATCCCCTGCCATTGCCGGCCAGTGGCAATGGAAAGCAATATGACCTTGCAGAACCCTTCTGGCACGTCTGTGTGGTCCCAAATACAGATCCAGCCTGGTTTCACCCAGCTGCGCTGGAGAGGAAGGAAAGCCCAGAGTCCTTCCCGGCCGTCAGCTTTGCTTAAAGGTGTGGCAGAGACTGACAGGTCTTGAAATCTTCCCAAGAGTTTAACATCATCAGCAGCAAACTTATTTGAACTCGCCAGGAGACATAAATCCCTGAGCATTGTGGTGCCTCCTTGGAAAGCACAGAACCCTCGGTAGCCTAAAAATGAGTGGGAGTCCTCTGCAGCCCCAAGTACTGCCCCTGTGGCAGGGCAGAGACCAGCGAGAAATACATCCCCTGCCCTCCTTTGTTCACTCCGAGAGCTGGAGTCCTGAGAGTCCTTTACTGTATGACCAGTCGTTCACACGGAGTATACCCAGGGAAGTCTAGAAGCATGCACGTCCCTCTTTCAACAGCGGCTGATTGTTATTTAGATGACTTAATTCCCTCTGAGATGTCCCCTGTGGGAGGAAAGGGCTAGCAGCATCCCGTGGTCAGTGCATGCGCCTGCGGGCGACACAGTGCCCCGAGAGCTTTACGGCCAGCAAACCTACAGTGCGTTAATATTGTGAGGCATTGCTCTGTGCAAAATGCATCCGTTGCCTTTCAAACCCGACACGCTCCAACATCCTGCCCCGTGGAAGCACGCCAGCAAGCCGTAGCGTAGGTAACCTTCCTCCCGCCTGTTGCCAGAGCGAGAGCTCTTACTGCAGCCTCTGCTCAAGTACAGAATCACCAACTGGTGCATTATTTATGGGAGACCTTATCACCGTCAAATCTTTGGTTTTCAGTATTTTTTTAAACCCTGCTGTAGAAAGTGAAGTATATTTTCACAAGTGTTCTCAGTTTATACAGCTTTAAGTGCCAGGTAGTTTCTAGCGTTGTGTTCCCAGAGGTCCAGCCCCGTCTGTCTCTGCCTCTCCTCTGCCCCGACGGCGGTGACAGGGCAATGCTCACTCAGCTCCTCTTTCCGTTTTGGATGTTGCACACTGCATTCAGTTGATATTTTTTTTTCTAAAAACATATTCAATATTTAAACCACTGGAGGTTCTTTTGAAACTGTCATTACAAATGTGAAAATGCTGTACATAGATTTTGCTACGTGTCGTAACTTTCCAAAATAGTTAGAACTCCAATCCCTTTGGTATTTTTATGTGAATATTTTCAAAGAGCCAGAACTTCTGACATACGGTTATATTATTTGATAACGGGACTATGTATATTCACAATTCAGTCTCCACCCAATGCCTATGTGCTATTCCTAAAATAAAGCTACTGCCTTCTGCCTCCTGACTGCATGTACCTCTGTGCTCTGTCAAAAATTGCTTCGCACGACAGCCGCAGGTGAAGGTGTGAGGAATTCTGCATCTGGCACTTCTGTGACTGCACGTCTTAATATTGGCCCCTTACACCTACAGGAGAGAGATGCAGGACCCGACCTTGCTGGATTTGGGCTGGTATGGGGAAAATAACTGCATAATTGTGAAGAGGGTTCCTTGCGTGCCAGCATTCAGGACAGTGTGATGAATATGAGCAATAAATTCTTAAAATAGTATGGATTTTTTCTGCAGCCTTCAGAAGAAAACATTTAGTGAGTGTATGAGCCGGTGAATTGTTTCCCTCTAAAAAGGAATTCTTGGCTGAGGTTGAGTTTACGTCCCCGGAGCAATTTATCTCCCTTTACACTAACAGCAGATAGATAGGGACCGGTTTCGTATCAGATTTCCTGGTTGTAGTTTAGCTCGTTTACAGCAGCCTGCTCAATCACCGGGTCCTCCCCAGAGGCCACAGCACCGGCAACTGTAAAACGGCTCTGAACAGAGTTAACAAAAATGTTACGGGTAGAAGTCCCTCACTGGGCACATGAATTTAAAGTGCTCGAACCCCTCCTGATGTTTCTTTAGCCCTCCTGGCCGATCAAGCCTGGGTCTTCTGCAGCCCCGGGGATTTCGAGCTGCCCAGCGCGGCTGTCAAACCTCCCACCGCACGGTCCAGCGCAGCCCGGGCTGCAGTCCATAAACCACCACAGAAATGATGTCCCGGAGCCTCCTTTGCAGCGTGGTACATACGACAGTCGGCATCATTCACCGCACACACTTGTTTTGCTGTTTCTTGATAACTGCAAACATTAGGGAATTTTTCCCCAGAATCAGCGCACTGGCTGGGCGCTCAGCTTTTAGCCTCGTACAGCCCAGCCTTAACAGAATGCCTGCGTCAGCCTCGATCATGGGATCGTCTTCACAGGAAAGCCTGTCCTTGGAAAGGAAATAATAACTCAGGCAGCAGCCCAGGGTCAGTGCGGGGAACGCAGCCGTGGCATGGCTCCGGCTCCACGGGGTGCCACTTCCATCCTCTGACAAGAGACAGGGAAACAGTGACCATGAAAATCCCAGGTTACATTCCAAACTTCGGATTATTTAAGGATTTTCGCTCTTTCCTGCAAGAAATGGGGGGGTAAAAAAATCAAAAAGAAAATGAGCAGCTTTAGTAAAGTCATGGTGAGGACAAGAGCACAGCTCCCGTTGGTGGACTGGCTGGGATACAACAGTACCAGGCTGGCATCTCCAAGCCAAACTGCAACCACATATGAACCCTCCCTCTAAGTATCTTGACAATGGTTTGAAGGGCCACGATCCGTAGTTATTTTCCAGGTGCCATGAAAGATGCCGAAGAGACAAACAGAAGTCTCAGCTTCACACTGGAAGGGCTGGAAGTCAGAAAAAAGTGGCATAGACTGGGAGGCAGCACAGGGCACCTGGGTGTTGAATTTGAAGCCCTCGAGGATCTGCATTGTTCTAACACAATTTAGGAAAATCTGGGTTTTCCAAATTCTGTCGGACCAAATTAAAGCATCTCCAATCGCAAGATTCAAAGACCTTTAGTTATGCCCATAAGAATTGTGAGCCAAGCGTGAAACAATGAGATAAAATACAGATACCAGTTTTTTCCTACTTTGCCTTCTGGTTTCTTAGACTTTGGGGTCCCTTTTTTTTTTTTTTTTTTTAAATTTCCCCCAATACCATTCCTTTTTTTTTTTTTTTTTTTAACTTGCCTCCATCATCAATCTGGAAAACCCAGAAGTGAAGGTGAGAGCTGAATTTCTGATTCTAGCAGCTGAGATTGTCAGAGCAGGGGTAGGTTTCACAAAACCTTTGGTAAAAGCAGTGCAGTTAGTTGCAACATTATATGACTAGTGAGAGAGAGAGACAAAAGCAGCACCTGCGCCGAGATGCTGCTCACGACCGGCCAGCGACGCGGGACCGGCGTTCCCCGGGGGCTGCCCTGCTTTGGCTGAGACTTTCACCCAGGCGTCGCAGAAGAGCTGAGGACTCGCCAGTAAAACATGCCCTTAGGGGATCGCACAGAGTAAAATTCGGGTTGATAACTCCACTGTCAGGACATGGATTAGGTTTGTGTAAGGACAGTGCCCATGCTTGGTCTGCCCTCCCAGCCAGGAGGTTACCTGCCCGGCGCCGAGGCACGAGGCTTCTCGGTAGTGCTGCCCCGGGGCTCTGTGCACCCCGATTTCAGAGATGTATGAGCTGCCTCCTGCCACGGTCTCTCGCTGTGCTGGAAGGTCCCTCTTCAGCACCATTCCCTGCATGTTATTCGGCCATAAGTGTTTTATCAGGTTTTTCAGACAGGTGATGCTGAAGCCAAAACCTCCAGCCTGGTCCCAGAAGGGGACCCGATTCTGGGATTAACCTACAGACTCAGAAATGAGTTATGAACCCCACCCCACGGATGAACTCTGCTGTTGGTAAGGCTTAGGCATAAAGTTAGAGACAGGACTGGCTGTCAGCTCCCCCCTGTGTCGCGGGCTGTCAGCTTGAGAGGACATCAGCACGGATTTTTTTTATTGTTACTTCTCCCTTCTCTAGCTGCGCAGATTGCTTAAGAGAATGGCACTCTGTGGAGTTTGACCCATGAGCCCTGATAGTGAAAATAATACACTTCTCACCAGAGCCACGGGAGACCGAAAGAGTAACTTCGGGCAATTAGTTTAACTTTGACTATAAATATTCCTTCTCATTCCTTGTGACACCGTTAACAGCTCCGCTGGCAAATCCCGATTCTCTGGCAATATTTAAGCTGCCTGTCAGTTGGCAGAGGCTTGGTGGTGCCCGGCGCAGGGAACAGAATGAGACCCAGCTGAGCGCAGTAAGTTCCCTTTCAGCTTCTACTTCGAGTCGGGGAGCTCCGGTTGATGCGCGGGTTCGGGGCTGCCGCTGGGCTGTGTTCCAGCCCCGGCGAGCGGTGGTGTCTTTAGAAGGTGGATGGACCTGGGAATGCTTTAAAAAATCTCGTTGAGGAGGCATTTAGAGAGATAGAGTCCCGACGGGTTACTCAAGACCCACGTGGGCTGCGTCTCTCCCGGGACCATTGATAAAGGGCTGGCTTCAGCGGCTTCATTTCAATGCCACGGATGTTCCTTCCTCACAATCTCTGGCGAGGAAAGTCCTGCCGCCTGTGCCAGGAACCGAGGGAGACCGGGCTGTGAGCTGAATTCACAAAACGGGCAAAATTTCCACTGGGCTGTGGCAGAGTTAGGATCTGAAATCAGAGCAACCGAGTCTACTGCATTTTTCCTAATGCCCAGCCTCCCTGCGGGCTCGGGGAGCCACAAGAGGAGCTTTAACCGGGCACCTGTATTCAGCTCCGGGAATTTCCCCTGCAGTGTATCCCACGTTTCCTTTCTTTACTGACGGGCACGACAAATGCCTGCAGAGCTCTGCCCCAGATCCGCACGCATTTCGGAGGGAAAGGCCCAACGCTCTCCTGCATGTGTGGCTGAATCCCGTGTGAGACTGAGCGCATGTAGCTTATAGCCATGGCTGTACTGCCGGTGCTAACCACCTGCCTGCGGGCCCCGAGATGGGAAGTGTCTCGGGATGAAAAGAAACAGCAATATCAGAGCTGCGAAAGAGAAAGCAGGAGGTGTTAGAGCAGGGTTAGCAACTTCCCAAGGCTGGCATACCAAACCCTATTTTTCTTTTCCTAGTTAGAGGTTAAGCATGCCAGTAAAAACTCGGCAACAGCCAAGACACATTGCCTCTTAAAGAGGTAAGATAGCACTGATCTTCTGATCATCAGCGCCCTGCATCCTTGCAAGGCAGAAGCTCCCAAGGAATTCAGTGGGATCTGGGGGCTTTATAAGGCACAGAAAAGGCTCTGCCAAGGTGCTGCAAGTCCCCGGTCCCAGCCCGGCGCTGCCACCGCTGCCACCCAACCAGAACATGGCTCTGTACCATCCTCGGCTCTTGTGCTGGAGGCTGCTGATGTCTCGGGATGCAATCCCCCAGCTGTGGAAAGCGGGTGATGGGATGGTATCTGCCACCGGAAAACTTTTTATTGCCCGACCTTTTCGTAAAGGCACGAGAACCTGTGCTGCAGGAGTGGGTGTAGCAGGGACACAGGGCAGGGCTTGTCCTCTTGAATACTGCCCAGCAGGAGAAATCGCTGCATCTCTGTCACCACGGCACTTGTGACTCCGTTCCCTCCCTGCTCGTTCACACACCTGGGCATTAGGTGCCCGGCGGTGCCACCGGTGCACGAGAGCAGCCAGTTGCCCTTCAGGCAAGTCTTCAGGCCACAGATGAGTTAAGGGCAGGTTCCAGCTGCAGTTCAACAAAGGGGTGAAGCTGGCAGAGGTTTTGAAACACGGGACCAAGGGCCAGGGCAGCTGTTTTGGTCTGTGCTTTGCTGTGCGCCGGGCGTTCAGAGGAAGAACTTGTTCGACCGCTTGTTGTCCGACAGTCCAAGCCGGGAGCCCCGGGCTGGTGCAGGCCACCCTTCGCCCCACCTTCTTCAGCTTTTTGGCAGGGGGGAGCTTATAAGTGTCGCCTTACAAGTGCAAGAGAGGCCAAAGGACTTGGCCAGCCGCATAGGCAGGAGGAGGACAAGGACCAGCAGACACCCGGCTCAGCCATCCCGGCGACGCCGGGGCTGGACCCAGAGCTGAGCCAGCTGCGAGGCCACGCCGAGGCCGGGGAGTGCCGGCTCTGCCCCTCTTTGGAGGAACCGTCTCCTCGGCTCAGCAGGGTGAGAGAAATAATCCCGAACCTGCTCCGTGGCTGGAGCGCGGCAGTGAGGTGCTGGGCCCGGGGAACCCTGGTGACCGACAACGGTCCCCGCCGAGCCAGGGTCTCTCCGAGGTGGGCCTTGCCCCTGCTGGGCCTTGCCCCTGTTTTGGCTGCACCGGGGCTGCCGCTCGCCTCCTGTCCTGCTGTCAAAGCGGGGCCAAGCCTGGGTGAGGGGAGGAGGAGGAAATGAGGAGGAACTGCATTAATTCAAATACCCGACCAACCCTCTTGCGTGAACTTTATCCTGCCCCTTCTTCCAAAGGGCAGCAGCCCGGCACCACGGGGCGCTCCGGAGGGCTCCAGAGAGCCCTTGCAGGGGTCCCTCAGTGGTGCCACATCTCCTCGTCAGGCATTTCTGGACAAGAAAACGAGTTTTTATTCCTGTGGGAAGCACATGAGTATCTCACCCGCAGGAAATGCTTCTGCGGGCTGGTGTGCAGGAGGGAGTCCCAGCTCCGACACCAGCTCTTCTGCCGCTTGGTGCCGGTTCCACACGGCTGCACCGTCTACCGGCGGTACTTGTCTACCGGCGGTACTTGCTGCTCATCCCCACCGCCCCGGCCCGCGCCGGTGTGGCAGAGGGTACGTCCATCCCTCTGCTCGGCGACACGCTGCCAGCCTCCATTCCTGATAAGGGAAGTCAGCCGTACTCGGGAGGAGACCCAAGCACTCTCTGCACCCAGGCTCGAGCTCTCACTGTGGCCAAGGAGGAAAATGCCACCGCCGCTGGAGCAGTTCACGTGTCTTCACATCCTGGTGGCTCGTCACGGGCACGTTTCTGGCAGCAGCTTCTCACCAAGGCCAGTGCTGCTGCACTGGGACCCACAGGCTGTCATCACCGGCTGTCCTTCAGCCTTTACACCTCCTCTCTAATGAGCCCATTTCTCCACCAGTTAGACAATTATCCACCGCAAAGGAAATCTGACCAGCCCGCAGCTGGCCTGCCTGCTGGCAGCATCTTCACAACACAGACAGGGAGTCACAAACGAAGGGAAATGCCAGAGACAAGAGCCTTCTCCACAGCTCCGGCACGAGCAGCACCGCAGCCAGAGCCACAGAGCCAATAACCCCTGAATTATTCCAGAAACAGTCAACACCTTCACGGTGCTGCCACATCCTCTCCTAACCATGTAACCCATTTTTTAACAGATATATGCATCAAGACAAAGAAGCACTCGGCCTGCATAAGAAACCATGGAGACCACCAGCAGCCCTCCATCCTCTGTGACCCCCCCGTGGGATGTGTTTCCCCAGAAGACGCTGGACTCCATTGACATTGCTGTTCTTGTGCTGTACTTCGTATTTGTCCTTGCGGTTGGGCTGTGGGTAAGCAGATACCGTTAAAAGCTTTCGTATGTGCCCTGTTATACTGAAAAATATGGCTGTTTGGGCCTCAAATTATTTTATTTTGGCTTGAATCCGGCCGCACCTCACTGGATTCAACTGAACAAGCGGAAAGATAGAGTTTACAGGTCCTTTTCCTCACTTCAGCCTGGGGAAGTGTCCTCGCTGCTCCAGAGGAGAGCTGTTCAGCTCTAGTGTTTGCCAAGGTTTTGAGAACCCTTGCAAGGAAGAGGTCATCTGAGTACAAAGTATTGCTAATAATAATGTTTTGTTCATCCAGGAAGGAATTGCTGTCCTATAAATCACCTGTGCTTGTCCGCAGTGGTCTCGACAGCAGATTCCGTAAATTAAAAATACTGTTCATATATAATTAAGGCAGAAGGACATCCTTTTGGCATGGCTTTTGTAATAGCAAAAGCACAATCTGGCTGTCATAAGGCAGAGATGAATAGTCGCTCCCTTCAAACGTGGTGCATAACTCTCATGGTGTTGCACGAAACTATCTGAAATCTCTAAAGAACAGGAGTCAATGAGCAATACGTGCAACGCTGAGCATTTCCCCTGGCTGCGCCTAATAACTAGGGATGTCCGCAGTTCTTGTCCAAAACTGCTTGTCTTCCTCACAGATCTAGAGTGGTTTAGTTTGCTTATCACAGAAAACATTTAATCAGGATGCTGAGATAATAGAAAACTGTGCGTGGCTTACAGCATTGGCCAGTCCCCTCCCTCGTCTGCTGCTCTCTCGTCCCCCAGGATTCCCCAGCAGCAGCTGCAGGTCCTTCAAGAAACCCTTCACTTTCATCTGATGACAGTACAGAGTATTCCGCTGGGAAAATCGCTTGGTGCTGCTCTGAGCGGCAACTGAAATGATTGCTGAAACCTGTGTTCTGCTTTTCTGCTTTCCCAGTCCATGTGGAAGACGCAGCGCAGCACTGTAAAAGGCTACTTTCTAGCTGGAGGACAGATGGTTTGGTGGCCTGTAAGTATCTTTATCGTTACACTGCTTGTGCCCCTAGGCTACTTCCACTGGGAAAATCGCTTGGTGCTGCTCTGAGCGGCAACTGAAATGATTGCTGAAACCTGTGTTCTGCTTTTCTGCTTTCCCAGTCCATGTGGAAGACGCAGCGCAGCACTGTAAAAGGCTACTTTCTAGCTGGAGGACAGATGGTTTGGTGGCCTGTAAGTATCTTTATCGTTACACTGCTTGTGCCCCTAGGCTACAGCAAGACTGAAAAGCGCTTTTGTCCAAGCAGAACTTATTTCTCCAAACAGAAAAAAAAAAAAAAAAATTACTTCCATGTTTTGCAAAGACCCAGTTACAATACTGGCTTTTTTTTCCATATTTGAGACTGGGGAAGCGGAGCTGCTGCAGGGCACCTGCCACAGCCCTGCGCCCCCGCGAGAGCCAGCCCGCTTGCAAAGCCTGTCTGGTTCTGCGTGCTTTGATCTGGAGATTTCCAGAACTAACTGGGTGGTCACCATCGCGGACGCAGCTTTACGTTGAGCCAGTCTGCTAGGTGGGGTATTTCATTTGCGCTGGTCTGGTGAGTCAGTATGTACTAATGTAAGAACCTGATGACGTAACATTTCTACTTGGTACCTCCACCTTCTGCCCTGCTTCTCCGCGAGAGACTAGACAATGTTTTGGAAGCAGGATGGTCCTAAACATGCCCACAAATGAGCGATAGGCAGCGAATGATGAAAGAAGCTGGAGGGAGGTGCCGGAGCCCCTGAACATGCAGGCAAAAGAGTAAGGTGGCAGAGGGTGACAAAGATTTCCTGTCCCCCATAGTCGTGAGTGGGGGAACAGCATCACTGTGTAACCTCCATGGTGGGAATCCACTGGGGGGGGTGTGCACTGGCGTACCAAGCTACTCTGTTTACCCCTTTGCCCATCACCAGGCTGGGAACAACGCCTTGTGCCAAGGCCAGATCCGATTTCCCATCTTTCTCCAGGTGGGCGCATCCCTGTTTGCCAGCAACGTTGGAAGTGGCCACTTCATCGGCCTGGCTGGGTCGGGAGCTGCCTCGGGAATTGCTGCAACAGCCTATGAGTGGAATGTGAGTGTGGCGCGGCGGCTCTGTAGCCGTCTCTGTCCTGTACAGGGCAACTCCAACACCACCGAGTCGCCACACAAGGGTATAGGTCTGGCAGCTCCAAAGGCTCAGACTCCTGCTGCATGAGCTAGAAGTCACCACCAGCTGCTGGGGGTTTGAGGCCTCTGAGGGATAACCCAGTCCCCGTGTCCCCATTGATCCACCCGATCACAGCCTTGACCAGCATCGCTGACCTTCCTTTCCGTTTGCTTTGCAGGGGATGTTTTGTGTTTTGGTGCTGGCCTGGCTATTCCTTCCAATTTACATAGCAGCAGGAGTAAGTAGATGGGATGTTGTGTCCATCAATGATTTGCTGGTATTTAAACCACCTGTTTGGCTCATGTGCTTAACCATCTCCTGCTGCACCCGTGCTTCTTCTGGAAGGGAGGGCGTGAGCCGTGGTGCACCTGGCTGCTCCGGTGGCCTGGGCTAAAGGGGACGAGAGCTGGGAACAGCACTGAGGGTTCGGGTGTGGGGGTCAGACTGCTCCGCTACCCCTGGCAATGGAGTAGAGTTGCTCCATCTCCTGAGGAGACGGATGGAGGCTCTCATATCACAGTTTATAGTGAGCCTTATGTCAGACATTATAGCAAAGTCAGTGCTTGCTAAGCTGTGTGCTGGCCTAAGTAGGCAGCTGAGAACCAAATACCAGCACGGTGCAACTGGCAGGGCCGTTCTGGTCTTCTACCAGCGCAAACCGCCCACGCCGGCTCTGTGGGTGAGCCCTCTGCCATTCGCAGGAGCGACTCCGCACCACCTTCTCTGACGGCATGTCTCTTGCATAGGTTACTACCATGCCTGAGTACTTGCGGAAACGTTTTGGAGGCAAAAGAATTCAGATGTTCCTGGCGATTCTCTACTTGTTCATCTATATCTTCACCAAAATATCAGTAAGTAGAAAAAAATGGAAACAGACTGAATTCAATTCACTTTGGAAACGTGCTGATCAGCGAGGCCGAGAAATGCAACTACTGGCCCTTCCCTATATTAGCAGGAAAGGGTGTATTGTCAAAATACCCGAGGAAGATAGACTATAGTTGTTTTGAGAACCTACACAAAAAGAGTAACTTCTTTTTTTTTCCCATTAAGCATCTGAATGTTTGCTACAGTAGGAGGGAAAGCTTGGTGTCAATGTCCTGAGCAATAGTTTGTTGAAAAGTTGAGTTGTGACTGTGGATGCATTTGTTGTTAGATCTTGTTCGTCTGGCAGCTTACCCAGTTTCTTCCCTTTGCATATTTATTGCCTGCGCAGACACCAAATGCTGTTATGTGCAGGATGAATAAGAACGTAGGAGTTGGTATGTGTTTAGGTGAAAAGAGTTTAGTGATTTATTACGCTTGTTTGATGTAGTGCCTTGAATAAATTACTGAATCAACCCTTGCGCAACACCTCACTAGCTGTTTATTAACCGTGCAGCAGCGCATGAATCTGTGAAATCAGACAAGTCCCTGCCGGTGTTTTTCCTCTACATATGGGGCCAAAGTGGGACACGCTGTCTGACACACGCCTGCCTGTGTCCCCTCTGAAATGGATGCTAGTCACGGGGTTCAGGTGGCACCGAGGAGCTAGGCTCAGGTTCCCCTCTAGAAAAAACTAACCATTTGATGCAAATGTCTGATAATACAATTCCTGAGAGAGAATGGATCGTTCCATACTTTTATACCTGTCTGTCATTCTATGGTCTGCAGTTTGCCTATCCTAAAGCTCTCCTAAAATGCAGCATTTTCACGTAGCTGCAGAGCTGGTTGGTCAGGGCTGGGTCCCAGCCCCAAGGACACTCTTCCTTATTATCTCGCTGTCACCGTGTCAGCAGGGAGGAATTCGCATTATGGCAAACCCATGCTGGGGCTGGCGGCAGGCCGAGGCACCCCGGGGAGGTTTGCACCGCAGGTGCTCCGGTCCCCTGGCCAGCACAGCTCTCCCCACCCAGCTCGCTGGTGCTCCGGGGAAGAGATGAGCTCGCCCCACCTAAATGTCTTTTTCACAGAGAGCTGTGCACGTTCCCCCTCTCTCAGGACAGCTTCACCATCGCCCTCCCTGTCCCCCCATGACCGGTAATAATAAACTGTCTAAACGCTGAGCTGAGCCTGGTCCTAATGCACAGGAGGCAGGAGCTGGGGCTGCAGAGGGATGTGCTACGTGGAGAAGACGCTGCAGGGAGCCGGGGCGTCACGAGCAGTAACAAACCAGACCGGTCCCACTACAGGAGGCAGCTTGGTCAGCTAAATGTTCATGCTCCCTGGCACCACCAGCTTAGGGGGGCTCGGTAATATCATCATCGCAACGGTGGTAACTATCCTTTTTCTCTAGGTCGATATGTACGCTGGGGCCCTCTTCATTCAGCAAGCCTTACACTGGGACCTCTATATCGCCGTGGTAGGCTTGCTGGCAATCACAGCCGTTTACACTGTTGCAGGTACGTGGCTGAGTTTCAGATCATACCACAGATCCTGCTTAGTGAGCTGAGCGCGTTCACGCAACGCACCATGCATCCTCGTGCTCGTGATAGGAGTCCTGCGTTTCCCATACAATCTGTTTTTGCCATGAGAATGGATAATGGAGGGGGGGGGGGGGCAATTGATAACTTGCCTGTTAAGAAAAAATTACCAGGTAAGAGTAAATGAATACCCCTTATAAGGCCATAGCAGGTATGGATGCAAGTCAGTTCTGCTTTAAGAAGAAGCTATGCTCGAGGCATTTGCACAATACATTCTTTCTTTGGGCTTTTTGGAGGTATGAGTGATTAACATAACAATGAGCTGTGTAATGCGGAAAGCTTGTCAATCTTGGGTGCCCTTTCAGGGCTTATGAGTGGCCAAATGGAAAAAAGCCATGCATGGAGTAAGCAGCAAATCCCAAACAAATAAAGGTTGCTCCTTTCCCAGTGCTCACCCCGAGTGATGTTGCTCATAAAGATCCCCCCCCCCCTTTTTTTTTTTTCCTCCTCCTTATTCAGCTTGGGCTTTGTTTTGGAGCTTTTCCATGTATTTCCCGTAGAAGTACTTATACTGGACTTTGGCTTTTTAGTGATAAAATGGTGACTCATTATGATTCAAAACATGAGAAATTTCAGCCAAAGTATCATGCACAGGAGTTGGCCGAACTGCCCCCCAACATGGTCAGAACACGCCGGCCCGCCAGGCACGGGGCTCGGCGTACGCTGCTTGTCAAAAAACTTTTGCAAAGCATGAGATGCTACGACAGAACAAACCCGGTTTCCCACAGTTTGCTGCTTCTCTGCTCTCTTAGGTGGCCTGGCAGCTGTGATATACACAGACGCTCTGCAAACCCTCATTATGCTGATCGGGGCTGTGACTCTCATGGTCTTCAGTGAGTGTTTCCTTGGGGCTTTATTACTAAAACTATGATAGAAGCTTTACCAAATACTACAAACAAGCTGGATCATTACAACTGATTACACAGCTGATGTTCTGGGAACTGCTTTCCATGTATTTTCCTGTTGGAATATATGCCTATACAAAATAATCTTATAGCAGTTCTTTATGTGGTAAAAATGCGTAAGTACTCCCTGAAAAATCTCTAAAGAAATATGTTGTGAAGCAACACTATAGATGAACAAGCACCTTCTCTAGCCAGCGGTTTTAGCGTTATGTGATCCCCCAGCACAGTGTTAGAGTCAATAGCTCCTGATTTTAAAGAATACTTGTGGAGGATCACCCACAGCAAACTACAGAGACTGCAAATCAGAGTACCGACCGAGGAAGATGTGATAACTGCTTCTCATGACCTATTTCAGGCTTTGTTGAAGTTGGCGGTCTTGAAGGTTTGCAGACAAAATACTTTGATGCCATTCCCAGCACCCGCAAGGAAAACAGTAGCTGCGGCTTGCCAAGAGAAGATGCTTTTCACATTTTCCGAGACCCTGTTAACTCTGACCTTCCCTGGCCGGGAGTTTTGGTGGGAATGACCATCCCGTCCCTGTGGTACTGGTGTACAGATCAGGTGGGTTACTGCTTATTTCTTTGTTCGGTTTCAAAAACATGTTACTGGTTGTTTGAATCTGATTACAAACCTAAGGTTTGCAACGTCGCCTGGACTGGCTTACTATTTCTGATGGGAATTCAGTAAAATCTGACGCTTTCAATCCTAAAGCTGCAAAACTTGATATGCACTACTAAGTTTTGGGAATCATTTCAACATAAAAAGGGGTGAGAATGTATGTATGAGTTAATCCCAGTCTGCAAAGATGATTTTTTTTTTCTAACTTAAGCCTTTCACTTCTTGTGAATCACCAGTGAACTCACTCCTTCTACTTTCCAGGGCTCTGATTACCATCCCTCCTAGCGACAACATCAGAGCCGGCAAGACTGAAGCCCTAAGCAACCTCCTGATGTTCCTGTAGTACTCTTTTATTTAACTCATTTTGCTTGTCTCAGACTCTGTCCTGCTTTGACAGGAGGACTGCTGAACTGGCCAGATTTAGCCATCGGGTCAGGGAAGCCCCCAACAACAGAAGAAGAAAATAAAATTCTAAGCCTGAGTATGATTAGTTTAAGGAGCGGATTATGCAACACAGCATACTGCAGAAGCAAGGCTCAGATTTGATGACACAAGCAATGCCTGTCAGAAACCTACGTTTCTGTAAGGTACTCAGGATCTGAAGCAAGAGTTATAAAGCTACAGCCAAGGTCTGTGTTCACCCTTCTAAGATTTCAATAGTTTAGAGGAGGACAAAGTATACACACGAATGCAATCGGTATCACATCATCTACAGCTAGCTCCTCTCTGCTGACAGCGGACCAAACACATTTCTTAATTTCTAGGTCATCGTTCAGAGGTCCCTTGCTGCTAAAAACCTCTCCCATGCCAAAGGAGGCTCCTTGATGACCTCCTACTTGAAAATTTTGCCCCTCTTTATGATGGTAATGCCGGGCATGATCAGCCGGATTCTCTTCCCAGGTAAGTGCTGAAGGAGAGATCTGTTCCCTCTATTTATCATTACTGGTTGTGCCTACTCTATGGAGCTGGAACAGCCTTTACCAAATAAGTTAAAAGGTTGCAATGCATCAAATGCCCACAGTATGAAGAAATTTTCTTCCAGTTATAAGCTGGAGAATGCCCATCCTCCTACAGCAGACCCCAGACACACATTGCACAACGCGCTGCTCCGTGTGCTAGAGCCGTTGGCCGTCATCTGTACTCACAACAGCTGTGCCGATCTATTCTGACCTTGCTACCTGCAGCTGCTCTGCGTTTTGATCATGCACTTAGGCCCCTCCTGCACCCAGCACGTTACTCCTCCTGCAATTAAGTTTGAGGCACTCGGAGTAATCCTGACATACCACCTTGAATGTTGTAAACTGCTCACCGGGTGGGAACGTGTGGATGTGCCTGGCCATGAGGGTGTGTGCTAGAGGTTGGTGGAGAGCCTTAGTCCTCATGGGAGCAACATTCCTAGAGAAGAATCAGACATGCAAAGCAGGTCAGCTATCTATACTGGTAGTATCTTTTGCATGGAAGGGAAAAAAGGGAAAACGGGGAAGCCCAGTGCTGCCCTTACCTCGTTGTGTTGGGATAGTCCTGCGTTACTTGCTGGAAGCTTTCCAATATCCAGTATTTCACTTAGAAAGCAGTGTAAAACATTCAGTAGACTAACTTGTTTAGATATATTGGCTTATTGTGGCTACGGAATACTGCCTCTCACTCCCCCCTGCCTATTTTAGATCTGGTGGCTTGTGCAGATGCGGAAATTTGCCGAAAAATCTGTGGCAACCCGTCTGGCTGTTCTGATATTGCTTATCCTAAGCTGGTCATAGAACTTCTGCCTGTAGGTAAGGAGCCTGGTAACGGCGCTGGCACTGATGGGTATGCACCAGCCAAAAGGCATCTGTGAGAGAAGTTCAGAGAGGAAAATACCCTGCAACTATAATTTCAGCGGGCTTTATGTTGGGCTTGGTGAGACAGCGGCAAAGGACAGCATGCAACAGGAGAGATGGGTGATGATCCCGTATCCAGAGGTCTAATTCAGCCAAATTTGGATAAGAGATAAAGCGCAGATGTTTAACAATGAGAATCAACTGTTAACACCTCCCTATCACTGCCACTTTAAAATCGGGGCTAAAAACATTTTTGAAAGCCTGCTCTAGTTCAAAGAAGAATTTGAGGGCATCCTACAGTGGGGTTATTGGGGATTCCTCAGGGCAGCTGTACTTCTCCTTCTGTTTCCAGGACTCAGGGGCCTGATGATGTCAGTGATGATAGCAGCTCTCATGTCCTCCCTGACTTCCATCTTTAATAGTGCCAGCACCATTTTCACCATGGACCTCTGGAAACACTTCCGTCCTCGTTGCTCTGAGTGGGAACTCATGATTGTTGGCAGGTAGGGAGAACTAGGACATGCATGTTCTATCAGGGCCTGAGCATTAGAGACACATCTCGGCACACCTCGCAGCCTGCTGCCCCTGCACACACGTAGTATCTTCCTATTGCACAGGTTTGGTGGAGGACTAGAGTGGGGGCCTTATGGTTACGAGAGATCTCAGTCAGAGTCTTGCAAGCTGAGCCATCGGGAAAGAATGGTCTGAACTAACAGTAATGGCATCTTTTTCTTGCACAGGGTCTTTGTGCTGCTGCTCACTGTGGTCTCCATCCTGTGGATCCCGCTGGTACAGGCTGGCCAGGGGGGGCAGCTCTTTATTTACATCCAGTCGATCAGCTCCTACCTGCAGCCCCCCGTGGCAATGGTGTTTATACTGGGTTGCTTCTGGAAAAGAGCGAATGAAAAGGTAATGGCTCTGCTGTGCTCAGCACAGTCGCCTCTGTGGCCTTGCTGTCCTCGTGAGAGCCCTGCAGTTCCAACCACCACCCCAGGCTCCAGTTCTGCCGCCTCTTGTAGTGTTTGGGAGAACGAATGCACCCAGACCTCTGCACAACCCAAGCAACCATCACCCACACAGGAGGGAGCAATTCCTGCTGTTTTTCAAAGACCCACTGGCATTTCAGAAGGAGCGAGATGGCTGCATCGCTCCCTTGCAGGGTGTCCTTCAGAAATCTTGAAGCCTGTTAGGGGCTTATTAGCCAGCAGCTTGTTTATTTCATGGATTTGTATCATCTGCATTGGGGGGGCTACAGAAGGCACAGTGAGCCCAGAGAGTGAAGGAGCCAGACCAACCGGCATCAGGAGTCCGAAACCTCCAGTTTCTCCACAAAGGCTGGTGCTGGGTAAAGGGTACAGTCTTCCCAAGCCAGGCTTCGGTTAGGCGGAGAGCAGTTGTCAGCCCCCCCAGGGTTAAGGCAACCATTAGGATACAAATATCACTCTTCAAGAGTATTCTGGCATAAGATGTTATCCTTCCCCTCCATACCAAAATTATTGACCCATTTGACCCCATGGAGGAGAGGTAGCAGGCTACTGTAACAGCACTGGCAGACCTAGATAGCAAGAGCAGAAAAGGGAGGAGAGGGAAGCCCACCAAAAAAACAGCAAGGAGGAAGCCTGGCCAGCTTATAGCCTGAGAACATGGGTATAGCCCTGGACCCTGGGTGGATGCACGCTGCTTGCTCCAAAAAAGAATACCCTTCCTTTCCTAGGGCGCGTTCTGGGGCCTGGTGATTGGGCTGCTGCTGGGCGTCATTCGGCTGGTGCTGGACTTCATCTACCCAGAGCCCCAGTGCGGCGAGACCGACCTCCGACCAGGCGTGGTGAAGTACATGCACTATCTCTACTTCTCCATGGTCCTGGCCGCGATCTCCACGCTCACTGTGCTGGTCGTGAGCATGCTCACAGAACCCCCCTCGGAAGAAATGGTGCGTCACCCCTTCAGATTTCTTTTGTTATTTGTAAATGGTGTCCAGGATGCCCCACACTACATCCACGGGAATAACGTGGGGATAAATAATCTAGAAATGGAAGTTTCCATTCATTCTTTATTTACGACCACACTTGCAATAACCTGTAACAGCAATCCCTCCTCTGCTCCAGCACCCTGCTGCCATGTAAGATTTTGGTCCCATAAATCCAGAGTCCCACCCTGGAAACTGGTCAACGGTAGATGCTACCAAGAGCTGTTCTTAAGTTTCAAACGTCTGTTTAATCCATGACAAATTAGCTTTTTCCCTCTATTTTCCAAGAAATTCCAGCTTCTGGGTCATCTTTATCAACTCTCTTACTAATTTAGTGAGGAACCATTTTTACTCGCAGAAAAGAGAAATCAAGGGCAGAGAGCACACTTCCTCTGGAACAGGTTTGTGCCAGTTTGACTATTTTCAATAGACATACCGAGGCTACAGAAAAACATTAATAGCAGAAAGAAGGGCCAGAGGGACCTTCAGAAATCATACAGCCAACGCATCCTCTTGCTTCGAGACAGGACTAACCTGACGTATTTCTGAAAGACCTGGCGAACTTTTATTCTTAAAAGTCCCCCGAGAGGGAGAATGCCCAGGGAGGTGTGTGATCAAATCGAGAGCTCACCTCCCCTTCCGCTAGCAGTTTTTCCTCATCTCCAACCTGAATCTTTCCAGCTTCACGTTGTGCTCATCCCTTCCTGTCCGCCCTGTCGTTGATATTGAGAACATTCCTCTTTAATGAGTCTTTTACGTATTTGAAGAAAACTACCATATTTCCCACCTGTCTTCTCTTCTCTCAGCAACCCCAGCTCTTTGAATCATTCCTCCCTGGCCACAATTTCCATTCTTTTGCTCCCTTCACTGACCCGCTCTCAGTCTGCATCCAGTGATGGTCCCGTGCAGAAATGTCTCCTCCTCAGTAACAGAGAGTGAAGAACGCCATCCTTCAGAGAGTGTATCTGTACAAACAGCTACCGTGTTCCAGACAAAGCTAAACCCAACATGCCGGTGGTAGCCATCGCTTCCGTAGTTACCAGCTGAGCACTTTGCTGTTCACCTGCTCCAACAGAGCGGGAGAACAGATTTCAGCCCCTCTAAGTATTCTCTCTGCAGGCTGCTCTACTGCTGAGGTAGTCCTTGAAACAACCATGAAAGCAGTTTTCTTTAACACCACTCTTCATGCCATCAGATAAGTCGGCTTACCTGGTTCACACGTGGGGATCTACCAGTCAAGAAAGACCTAGCAGTCAGCCCTTCCCCTGATGCTGCAAAAGGAGTGTGTGAAGCTGAGCGTCCAGCTCTCCAGATTGATATAAGCATTGCTTCTGAAAATAGTTCAAATGATAATAAATGTAAGTGCTCCAACATCGTATTCAGTAATACCTACACTTAACAACCCTAGGCGTTATGTAAAGCCTTTGAAGACAAGAAACGTTAAAACTACTTCCTCTGGATTTCTGTAACTTCAGGGCATGCTAAAAGGTTTTTACCTGACAGTGTTACCTAAGCAGAAGTTTAGTTTCTTTTCCATCTCTCGATGGCATTAGATATGCTTGAAATCAAGAAGGAGCTGGATGGGATACAGAAAGCCATGCCCGTTATCCTGCACTAGAGTGGTGCTGCTTGCACCTGCTGCAAGGAGAACTGGTTGAAAAAGGGGAGGGTGGAGGAAAACCACAATTATTTTCATGAAATTCCATTTCTGTTTTTCAGTGATGTTTTCTGATCGACTCTAGCAGCAGGGAGAACCCAGAGCCCTGGGCGGAGTTCTTGACAGATCAGTGAAGGAGGATTTACATTTTTTAAAACTTGTACTTGTCGGTATTAGGTACAAACATGCATAGCAACTCATTCTGCATTTTCCAGCGATGGTTGTCATCACTTGTTTTTGCCAGGCTTGGGACGCTGTTTATGTAACTTTGCAGCGTTTGCTGCGTATTCCTGTGATCTATACAAAGCTGTTGAAAAGATCAGTAAGTTAATGAATTACTGCGCAGCTCTCCCAGCTGCTGGGAAGTCTCACATTCGTTGTGCAGGAGTGCCGTCTTCCCAGCATTTAGTCGTGTGTGCTCTGACCCGCACCCAGAGCTGGGAGAATTCCGTTTACACGTGTGTGGCGTGGAGTAACCCTAAACGGACTAGAGCACGCACGTGCGAGAGGAAGCTGGTGGGCACCAAGCAGCTCCAGCTGAGCTTTTAGGTTTGGTCTACTGTTACTGTTTATTAAAAGTTGGGAACCGCAGAACTTGAGCTCAGAGCTCCAGGGAAGAACGAAATTGGTACTACAGTCCCAAAAGATGCTACTCGAAGGGCTTCCTACACCTCAGTGTAGCTAGTGTATTCACTTAAAGAACGCTGGTGCGTTTTTGCATCAAAACCCTTTGCACAGGACCACACTGATACATTCCTGGGATGTGTTTTGTTGGTGAGATATATACCTCACTATTGCCTGTCTTTTTAGGTACGACTAACGCCAAAGGGAACTCGAAGCTGATGACCGCCTTTCTGTGGCTCTGCGGGATGGAGCGCAAACAGGAAAATGCCGAGAACGCGGCGCCGACTAAACCCGAGCCGCTTCCCGTGGCTTCCCTGGAGGAGAAACCACTGGTGAAACACATCCTGAATATCAACTTGCTATTATGTGTATGTGCCGGGCTCTTTCTCTGGGCCTACTTCGCATAGCAGTTGGCTATTCGATTCCAGATGACACCAACTAATTTTAATTGGTGTAAATAATAATAATTAGCAGAGGGTTAATGTAATTCTTAATGCTTTCTAAATTTTATTTCTTTATTTAAGAAGACAGACCCTCCTCCCTAATCCTTTCCTTATTTCTAATGGGGGCCTGGCTGTGAAAGGTGCCGAGTGCTCGGCACCATCACTGTTGGACCTGAACTGGCAACAACAAGAAGGGTGTAAAGAGCCAAGGAAGGCAGCTAGGCAGAAGAGGTTTGTTTGGTTATTTTAAATATTTAATTACGCTCTTTGGGGTTAGAGCACTGCCTGGAACTCAGGAAGTCTGGATTCTGTTCCTATTTATGCCTCTATAACCAGCTACAAGCACTTGTTTCCCCTTTGGTTCAGCTCCTCTACCCTGGAGGGGCGAGCGCCCGCGGGACGGCCAACGCCTGCTGTCTGTGCTCTGTCGGAGCAGCAAGCCGTGCCTCGCTGGCTCAGCCGTGCCGGTTTAGCTCCCTCCGTCAGCGCAAGCGGGCAGAAGCGCGTGTGCCATTAGTGCTGACGGGCCCGCTGACATTGCTGTGAGTTTGTGCTGAGTTAACGCAGCTCTCGCAGCCCGCCTGCGTTGCAGCCCGCCGGTGTTACAGCCTCCCCCCACAGCACCAGCACTGCTTGCAGCGCTGCGATGGCGGGGCCGGGCAGTGAGCGGACACCGACCAACGCCAGCACCCAGCGTGAAAACTGCCCCAAAAGTGTCATCAGGGCCACCTGAAGGGACTAAACCAGCCCGAACCCACCGGGTGCTGCCGGGGACGAGGGCAGTGCGGGGGCCTGGCAGCACCCCCTCGCCTCCTGGGGAGGGCCAGGCACCCCGCAGCCATTCTGCGAGCACTTCCACGCCGTGAAAACCCTCGGCCGGGACCAACAACCACCTTCCACGTAACGTCCATCCCCAGGGGAGGGCAGGC